CAACTCCTCCTTTCCCTCTCTGTTGAGAGAACACCTTCAAATGGACTTTGATGAGACAAATGAAATCTCTTTGGGTTGTATTTTGCCTCAGTTTAAAACAAAATTGTTCCCCGACAACTCACTGAGCCGACCCTCTGCAAACTGAAATAACTGCAGTTCGTGATCTCTGTAACAACAACATATAAAACTCAGTGTGGCTTAAAATTCATTTGGACAACACGACCCTGTGTTAATAACTGGATGTGAAACCAACGTTTAGGGACTCTCAGCGGGAAAATGACTTATTTATAAAGCACCTTTCCTCTCTTATCTGGCACTGAATCACTCTAGATCTCAGGTAATTAAAGCACAAGAAAGGAAGGATGGGATTTAAGAGCCAGAGTCCCTCTCTAGATATGCTGCCTGAACACTCCTTTGCTCAGGAAAAAGTCCCACTGGTCACAGAATCATTTAAGTTGGAAAAGACTCCTAAGATCGAGTCCAACCTCATGAAAGGTCACAATTTGATTAACTCTGTAAATACAGCAGGACACAACCCACAATCACTGCAAAAAGCACAGTCCTGGCTTATGTTTTAGAAACACTCTCTGAAAACTTTTTTTCTTTACCAAATGCACTCCATTTCTTTTTCATTAGGGCATATAAATGAATAAACAATCGCTCCATAAATAAATAGATACCGCTGAACATCCTGGGAGCACAGCAGCTCTACGAAGTCCTAACTACCAGTAAAAGGGAATTTTGATGTCTTATCTAGACGTGCTTGTTATCATTGATCCTGGCAGTGCCAGAGCAGCACAGTCAGTGATCTGAAAACGAAGGAAAAGAGCCCACACAGAACCTGGAGCGTTTTCAGCTCTGTTTGAAAAAGATGCAGACGACGACGTTTTCCCTCTACCTGGCGAGGGATTATATTTCAGCTATTTGATCTGGGGAAAGAATTCATCTGTTTGAAAATACAGGAGCCAAGCAAGCTTGTTATACAAGCAAAGGTTGTTTTCTGCAGTGATTTTGAGAGCAAACTTTCCCCGCCGAACGCTGATGACAAACAAGCTCCGCGCTTTGACATCTGCGGCAGGAGCTGAGCTTGCTAAATTGAATCCCCTTCTGCCTCCTCCAAACTGCCTTGATAATTGAGCAAATGGGGAAAAGAGGCTCTTCCCTGACTGTTTCAAAGCTTTCCTGAAGAGAATCATAACTGACAGGAGCTGCAGTTTGCGAGTTGAAGAGGAAAAGGGGGAGCGGGGAATTAACGAGCTGGATTTGGGAGGTGAGTGCTCCTCCATACACATGGCACAGACCCCTGCACGGCTTCCCCAGCCTTCCCCCTCTGCTACACGAGGAAATAAATGAAATCAGGAGCCCCACTGCTCACCTCCAGCAGCTTTGGAGGGGACAGGTGGTGGAGAAGTGAGGACGCCACGAAGAGGTCACAGGTGAAGGAGCTTCCCTGCAGGAAGGACAGGACGTGAGGTGGAATGCCATCTGCTCACTTCCACAACACAAGGTGGGGGGGTGTTGTTGTCTGAGTGGGTTTGGTTGGGGTTTTTTTCCCTTCAAGGACTGCTCAGGGAGGTGGTGGAGTCCCCATCCCTGGGGGTGTTCAAGGAACGAGCGAATGCGGCTCTTATTGCTCTGCTCTGGTGGAAAAGGTGGGCGTTGGCCAAAGGTGGGACTCAACAACCTCAAAGTCTTTTCCAACTCAACTGACTCTGTAATTTCCTAACTTGTCTTTTGCCACTTTTCAGCTTCCAGGCTCTTGCTCGAATCTGCTCCCTGTTTCCCTGCTGAAGAGTTTCAGGCCCCCAGGACTGCAGCAGTGTGGGCTCCACTAAGTATTTTCCTTTTCATCTCCTCTAGGAGACTCCACACTGTCCCTGTGCCTTCTTTGTCAGCCTTGCCTGCGAGTTTGGAGCTGCACTGCTATTATTTCCCCTGAGCCAGTTCTGTTTGGGCTTTGACTCATCGTTTTTTGTCAATCAGAAAGGATTGTGAAGGATTTCCTCCCCAGCTGGGGCAGTAGCTGGAGCCCAGAAATCAACCAAAGCCAGCTGGGCTGTGGCAACAGCCTCTCCATTGCACATGGGAGCGAATCCCCTCAACTTGATTTTCAATTATTGGAAAAATTGGTTCAAATGCCAAACTGTGCTGAGGAGACAAGAAGCCTGAGATTGTATAAAAAGATCTGCTATTTTATCCCTTTGGTACAGCTCAAAGCTGCTGTTTAAGCTGATATTTGCTCTTCAATCACATCAGGTCACCCCAGGATACGTGGTGTCCTACAGTCCTCAATCTGTGAGTGCTTTTAGGGATGCTGGCAGGGCTGTTTGTAGGGATGATCAGAGAGGAAAATCTTGGGGTTTTTTAAGGGAAGGAATGATTTCTGATAGTTTTGGACCTCCAGGCACCATTTAGGGTGACAAAAATCACTTGAAAATTCATTGTCAAGCTCTGCTTTTCTGCTCAGGAGGGGGTTGTGCTTAATCAACACCTGAAACACTAAAACAGAGTTTTAAACTAAAAGAATCCAAACACCAGGCAATCATCTGCAATGCACGTGGCTTTGGCTACATCACATATGGATTAAGCAGCAAAAGAGATGCATTTAGAATCCAAATTAGTCCTTTGGAAAGAAGTGGGCCTTGGAGCAAGCAAACTCAAATGGCTTTCAGTGTTTAGGTGGACAGTGTTTGCTTTGCAGGCTGAGATGTATTTTATCCAAAATGAATTTAATTATTCCAACATTTGCAGCAAAATCAGGGACTAAAAGCATCTCTCCACATCTTCATCCTAAGCACCACCAGAGGCACTGGCAGGGCTGAGGAACCTGCCCAGGTGGGGTGTGGTGGGATGTCCAGGAGACATCCCAAAGAAACCACGCACCTTCTATCCCTGCTTCTGATTATTCCATGTCTTTCCTTCCCTTTAACTGCATTTCTATTACAATTATTCACCATCCCTGTTTTATTCCTTTCAATCCCTCCTACAGTCACTTGTTGCTCTCCTGCACATCTTTTAGCCCTTCCTGTCCCCTTTCATCACTTCCCATAATGTTTCCATCCACTAAATCATTAAAATAAACTATTAAAATATTTAAATAATATTGTAACTTTCGATTCCAACCGGCTTTTCCATATTTTGCTGTCTCTGTCCCCTTTTTTAAATCAAGTCACTGCCTTCAAGGTGTGCATCCCACCCTCCACCTGCACCAGCTTCTCCAACAGAGCCCCAAACATGGATCTCTCTCCCCTGTTTCACAAGCACTGGAAGGAGCAGCCACCTCACATCGACAAGAAAGCTCCACTTGTACCTAAGAATGTCGATTATTCAATATTTTAGTACTCAGTCTTAAGCTCTGCCAAAAGAGTTCCTTCCACAAGTGACAGGATTTGGCTTTTCCCCAGCTCCACGAGAGGCAAACGCCAAAGGCCACTTTCTGCTGGTGCAGAGTTTGAAGGAGAAGAATTAAAAAGCCCACGTGGCCAAAAGGATTTCAGAAACTCTGAAGGAACACTGCCAAGTCACACCTGAGCATTGTAGTAAAGGTAATAAAAGCAAAACAATCAAAAAAAATTATAAACCTGGGCTAAAAATAGTACAGTCCTGTTCCCTATATACGTATGTTTATTTTAATTCCAGTTTTAGCAATAGTAAAACTTTTGCTCCTCAAATGCTCCGCTGGAACGGATGGCCCTCACCATGGTTTGCTTGGAATCAGGTGGCCCTCATCCCAAGGCAGGGATTTAATATAATCTGGGGGTTTTTTTATATTTTATTGGAACAGACAAGGAGAGTTGATGTGCTCAGTAAGGAATTTCCAGTGAGGAGTTTCAGCTTCCTAAACCAGTCAGCTCCTGCCTTTGAGAGTGGGGCTGATTTGCCCTGGATGTGGGAAAAGCAAACTCAGCTCAACTGCAGATGAAACCATTTCTGGAAGTGCCATTCAGGGCCTTTTAGGCTCCATCTCTTGGCCTCTCCTCGTTTCCTGCAGGAAGGTGCAAATATTCCTCCTTTCCAGCTCCACATGGGAAAACACCCACCGGGGATATCGAGAGGAACATTTGGCAGTGCAGCTGAGTGGGGTCAGGGGTGGGAACCGACCCTGGCGTTGTGTTGTGGAGGAGCAATGACTGACACCACAACTGACACCATCTCGTCTATGGAGACACGTGGGCAGAGTTGGGATGGTTCATCCTGGAGCAGAGAAGGCTCCAGGTAAACCTGAGAGCTCCTTCCAGTCCTCAAGGTGCTCCAGGAGAGCTGGAGAGGGACTGGGGACAAGGGATGGAGGGACAGGACACAGGGAATGGCTCCCCTGTTATTTTTTTTTAGGGAGGAAAGTTGAGAGGGGAGCTGCTTCTGGTGCTTTCAGGATCTAGCTGAGATAACAAAACCTGCAAAACTGCCCCAACCTCACTCCTTCACAGAAAGCTGTTCGTACCATGATTGCTCCTCACCTTCCCAGCAGGTGTGTGGATCAAAACAAGCACAAAACCCCAGAAAAATAAATCAGAAACAACCAAAAAGCAGAAACTGGTACAAATTCCACCTCACTGATTTGGGAAGCCACTGCTTGGACACCTTAGGGGACAGCAGAGGGAGGAGCTTCAGCATTTCCACATCCCTGTGGAAGCACTGAGCCAGGAGACAGCCAGCTACTTGATTTATCTGAAGCCTTCCCAGCCTTGTTTGCTGCCAAAGGCAATCAAGCAGGAGCAGGAGGATTAATGGCTCTGCACAGCAAAGCCTCTCCTTGGCACTTGTCAACATCCCCCCAGCTCTCACCACCCCTCCTTCCACCCCAGTGCCAGTTCCCCGCCTCTCCCTGCACCAGAATTCCCCTGAAACACTGGGAGATCTTCACTGGAGTCACCTCCAGGGGGGATGAGAAGCCTCAGGGGCTGCATTTGGACAGGCACTTTGCTCAGCTGCGTTCACTGAGAGGAAATCCATGGAAAAGCAGCACCTCTGCGACCAGGAAAGTTCAACACACAAAAGATCTGCCGCTAAAAAGCCCTCGTTTATCAGAGTCTCCCAAGGGTGGTACTGCAGGGAATATCAGAGGTGTAATGTGTCTCTAACACAACAAATTCACTGCCATCCTCCTCTGATTCCAGCATTAACTGCAAAAAAATATAATCAATTGTCCCTTTCCATTGAGAAACTCGGGGCTTCTCTGCGTGGAACAGAAGGAAAGTGCACATCTCAAACTCCTTTTGCATCAGCTGCAGGAATTCTGATTTTCCCTGGCAAATGCTGAATCGTTGGAGGCATCTTTTATTTTAGGAACTGGAAGCATCTCTCAGACATTAATTTAGGAGAATTACCCCGAGAAAAGCAACACTGGCCCTTTTTGAGGTGAGCCCTGGCCACATTAAGTGCTTTGCTTGAGGGCAGGAGTGAGTCACCGGGAGAACCATCACCCACAGCGCATCTCTCATGCTGCTGCCACCACCAGCTCTCGAAAAGAAAGGGAATAATTAATGGGAGCCTCGGAATTTATATCAGAATTTCAAGAGTTCACGGTCTGAGCCCATTAGAATATGTAAGATCCCTCCAGCTGTAATTTATGTGGATATTGTTCGCTACACATTCTCACATGGCGACTTTTTCCTTTTGGGAAAGTCTCCAAGGACTTCCACAAATATATTCTTTTGAATGCTAAAATAACTCCAGATTACCCTGAAAGACACTGGTGCTGAATTAGCTCAAAACCAAACCCAATGCCTTGAAAAAAAAAAAAAAATCCACTAAACCCCAAATCTTCAGGGCTTCCAGAGACCAGGAGGTGCCACATCAGCCGCTTCACATGCCCAAAAAGCTGAAATTACTCACCAGTGTGAACAAGGGTCATGACTTTTCTGGGGCCCTCAGCACGGTGGGGTTTGTTTTTCTCTCTCCTAAACGGTGATTTCCAATGTACAGTTGTCCTTTGCAGGGGATGTTTATGGATCATTTACTAACAGTGTACGTTCTCTTCTCCTTTCAGCTCTAAAAAAGGAAATTGTTGGTTGTGATTCATTGGTCAGACCAATGCAAATGCTGCCCTTTAAACACAGTGTGATTAATGTAATAGTTCACTCTGGCAATAAACAAATATTCAGTTCCAGAGGAATTTCCCATTGTTTTTCCAACACTTGCAGCAATAGATGAACAAGTCAGGAGTATCTCAAAAAGGTTTTCAGTAGTAACTGCCATATGTTGCTATTAAAAATTATCCTAATTCTTGCTCAGTTGCAAAAATATGAGATATTTCAACAGGAATAACACTGGAGTGTCTGTTTGGTAGTTTCCCAGCCTCTGTAATGTTGGGATCTTGAAAGGTTTTTAAATTATTTTAGAAAGGGTAGGCTAAAATATGGAAATAAGTCCAAGGCACATAAAGCAGCTCAATTAATTTTCCTGAGTTGCTGAATGGGAGGATTTTGAATAGAATTTGGTTGTAGGGGGAAAAGAAAAAAAAAAAAAAATGCAGCGTTGCCCAAATCCATCAATCTTCACACAGGACCAAAACACTGTCTTGTACCACCTCATATTCATCATCTATGTGGGGACAAGCAACTCATCACTCTCTTTGTTCAGTGAGAGGTACAAAATAATACCTGCACTCCTGAGCCTGGTTTTGGGACTCCTTGTAATGTTCCCAGGGCGAGGCTGGCAATTTTTTACATGGAAATGCAATGTTAGAGACGCTTGGAACGTACAACGAGCCAGGGCACTCCGTAATTTGGCTGCCAAAATTGGGAGATCCCTTCTCCCAACACTGGGGCCCTCAGGATGCTCCTGGGATGCTCAGAAAATGTCCCACGGCGCTGGTGCTGCCAGTGCCTGATGTGACAAACATTCTTGTCCTCACAGCCCATCTGCAACTCCATTTTGGGCTTGATAACAGGCTCAATTTTTCAACTCCAACACCGCAAACCTGTCTGAACAGTCGCTCTGCTTGGACAGGGAAGGGCTGGCTGAGGTTGCAGCCATTCCATCAGTAACTCCAAATGCCACAGGCAGCTCCTGGATGCCAGACCTGCAGAAGACACCACAAACACCTCAGTAATGCCACAACAGACACCAGCCACCTCATTTTTGCCGAGACCTCAAGTGCTGCAGGTGATCTCCTACACTGATGGACATAACACGTGGCTCGTTCACTCCTTCCCCACGAGAATCACCAGGAAAAGCCCTAAAAATGCTGGAGGTGCTTGGTCTACTTCTGCAGGTGGAGGAATCACTGCAGGAAGATTTGGACTGGCAAGATGCCATGAGCCCACAGTCACAGCTCTGGACAGAGGTCCAAGGAGAGGCCAAATAAGACGTTTCCATGCCAGGGAGATTCAGAGTGAACCCATCCATCTTTAATGCTGGAGCACAGGGTAACATCCTCTTTGATTTATCAGCTTGGGCTCTTGCTTTTCATTTAAGGGGAGTTCAATTTAATCTTTTGAAGTGCAAGAAAAGGTACAGCAGCAGCCTAAAAAAAAAAGTATCTCTGTGGTTTGACACCTCAGCACGTGATATGATACAGAGAAAGCTGCCTGCCCTTGCTGCGCATCTCCTTCTGGAATATCTGAAGGAGAAAGGACAGAGGAGAAAACTGTCAAGCCCCTGATCTTGTCTCAGTGCTGGAGGTCAGTGTTGTCACATTCATCCAAATCCAGTCTGAGCATCCTGGTCTCCCCAGTGACCTCAACATATGGCTTTGCTCAAGGAAGTCCCACCACCTGAAAATGAGGTCACATTAATATTTCAAATCATATTTAAGCTCTAGTCCTTCGAGAGTTTCCACTCACTTCTCTCTGTGTACTTGGAAAACCAGCATTAAACTGCTTCCTTACCCAGGCACAGGTGGAAATCACAGAATCACAGGATGGGCTGAGCTGGGAGGGACCCACCAGGATCACCCAGTCCAACCCTCAGCCCTGCACAGACCCAGCCCCAAAGTCACCCCCTGTGCCCCAGAGGATCAGCCAAACCCTCCTGCAGCTCTGGCAGCCTTGGGGCTGTGCCCACTGCCCTGGGGAGCCTGTTCAGTGCCAACCACCCTCTGGGGGAAGAACCTTTCCCTGAGATCCACCCTGAGCCTGTCCTGACACAGCTCCAGCCATTCCCTGGGGGCTGTCCCTGCCCTGACACAGCTCCAGCCATTCCCTGGGGGCTGTCCCTGCTCCCCCCAGAGCAGAGCTCAGTCCTGCCCCTCCTCTGCCCCTGCCCAGGCAGGGTCTCCCCAGCAGGGAGGTCTCTCCTCAGTCTCCTCTTCTCCAGCTGAACACACCAAGTGCCCTGAGTGTCCTCACACGCCTTCAAACCAAGGCCCTTCCCCATCCTCGTGGCCTCCTTTGGACACTCTCCAATGGCTTCAGATCTTTCTCATTAACATGTCCAGCTGTGCTCTGCAGCTGCAAACATCTGCTTTGATCTCTTCCACCCCTCACCCGCTCCATCTCCGACCACACATCCTGCAGTTCAGACCTGCAGGCCCTACAAGCATCTCACAGTGCTGGGGGGTCTCAGGTTGGACATCAGGAGGAATCTCTTCATGGAAAGGGTTGTTAAACATTGGCAGGGGCTGCCCAGGGAGGTTTGGAGTCCCCACCCCTGGAAGTGTCCAAGGATGGCCTGGCCGTGGCACTCAGTGCTCTGGGCTGGGGGACAAGGTGGGGACAGGGCACAGGGTGTGCTGGATGACCTTGGAGGGCTTTTCCAACCTTAATGATTCAGTGAAAAAAATTAAACCAGCTGAATCTCCTAATGTAAATTATGCACCCTTTACCAGTCACCTGAGCCCAATGCCATCCTCCTTTCAACTCTTTCATCAGCACTATAACCCAGCAGGGGAATAAAACACGTGAGGAGACACCAAATCAGGTCTCCAGTTGTCCCCAGCAATTACAGAAATTGCCTGTTGCCTTAAATTTAAAACTTCACAGCATTCTCTGAAGATCTGACCAATTTATATGCTCAATTCGCAGAGCACAAGCCAGAAATATGTATGTGTATTATCCCCATTTCCTAGTGCAGGCAGCTTTCCAAAAAACCTTTGCTATGAATTTCAACTAATTAAGTCATTTCCAAGGTACAATAGTGCCTGGAAGAAGAAGTTAATGAAATGAGTACATGATCCTTTAGCTAAACTCCATAGTTTAGGAAAGAATTTTAACCTGTCATCGGGTCAGTCTGAAATTATTCATGTTTAAGGCCAAAATCGTTCTGAATTAGCCTGAAGTTAATAATGTGGTGGATAAAGGCTTTTGTGTATCCTTTTGAGCATAAGAAGGAAATCCTAGAAAAAACTGCTGTGGAATTTGCAGTTTAAGTTTTTTGTGATGGTATTTCCTAGAGGAAAGACAAACCATACAAACCCTGTCTTTGATCTGCCAAATTTCATGTAGAAAATCGTCATTAAACAGTCACAAAAATTAATCTTTTTTGCATCCAGAGTGATTTATGCCATGCAGGCTTATGAGATGGATATCTTGACACTATAGAAGATGCAGCAAAGTCAATTTGATCAACCATATTTATCATTCAGCAATTCTGATCACTTCTGAAGGTACTTTGCCCTCAACAGTCCATTTTCATCTGAACCATTCCTTATAATCCACAGCTTTTGTGCTTCCAGCAGCTGCACAAGAACAAAGCCCTGCTCAAGAAACATTTCCTTGCAGGACATGTAATTATTAAATTGGATTCTAATTACAGATCATAAATTACAGACACTTCTTTAGAGAGAAAATACCCAGAATGCTACAGAGAAATTCAATGCCTATTTTTGAAGTTAACCTAAGAGCATTTTGGTTTATTAAAAAAAAAAAAAAAAAAGAAAAGAAAAGAGCAACTCTGGAACCAAATCATGACTCCTGTATGAATTCCATGTGATCATTTCAAGATGCTGTCAGGCATTAGTGTACACAAATCTTAATTCCTATTAAAATATATAGAAACATATGTCACTTGTGCCTGGCACCAGCAGCCAGAGCTGTGCACTTGGCATTTCCTGGAGGAAGAGGAATGAAAGGTGCCTCTGGATATGTTCTTTCTATAGAAAGACAGGCATCAGTGTGCAGCCAAAGCCCTCCAGGAAAGCCTCAGCTCTAACATCAGCTCCCAAAAAGCGACTGCGAGCCAAGGAAAGATTAAAGAGATTAAAGCAAACCGGCAAATCTCGGTGCTGGTTCCAGCTGAACCCACACCACGAGAGCAGTGCCCTGGCAACAGGCGCAAAGCCACAGCATTGTGGTTCACCAGGATCAGGGTTGGTGGCTCAGAACCAGAGGGAAGAGGGAATGGGGCCTGTGGAAACCTGGGGTTTGGCTGCAGAAACCCTGGGAAGGAGCCCAGGGCTCACCTGGGCTGGTTGTGCCAAAGGCATGAACAGGTGGCCACCAAAAACCCGCAGGTGGCCACCACAAAGCCACACCAAGAGGGCTCGGATGGACAAGGGACAGTCCAGCCTGAGTGATCCCACCAAAAACAAACCATCCAGAGCACAACTGGTCCAGCCAAGCGACAGAAACCTGCCTGAGGCCCCTCACCCCACTTGTCTAGAAGTATCAGCTTCACGATGACACAAGGAATTGCCCTGACCAGGTGGATGGTTGTGGCCAGGGGGGCCACCAGGGTGGAGCCCTCTCAGCTGCACCGCTTGCCCTAGTGGGTTGGGAGGAGTCCATCAGCCCTGGGGTGCAAGCAGGGCTTCCACATGCTCCCAGATTCCCACAGTGGGTCATCTGGTCCCATCCCAGAGCACAGGGCTGTGTCCAGATGGTTCTGGAACATCTCCCCAGGGGGAGACTCCACACCCTCTCTGCTCTGGCTCCAGTGTGCGGTCACTCAACAGAAAAAGTTCTTCCTCGTGTCCAGGTGGAAATTCCTGGGCATCAGCTCCTGCCTTATTGCCTCTCATCCTGCTCTTGGCACCACTGGGAAGAGCCTGGCTCCAGGCTAATGATATTTCTGGAATGTGCTCGTTCCAGTCAAGAGTCATTGTGAAAGCA